TCTCGGTCTCAGATCTGGTCCAGGACTCCTGGGTCTCAGGGGTCTGGTCCAGATCTCTGTCTCAGATCTGGTCCAGGACTCCTGGGTCTCAAGGGTCTGGTCCAGATCTCTGTCTTAGATCTGGTCCAGGACTCCTGGGTCTCAGGGGTCTGGTCCAGGTCTCGGATCTGGTCCAGGACTCCTGGGTGCCAGGGGTCTGGTCCAGGACTCAGTCTCGGATCTGGTCCAGTATTGCTGAGTGTTGGGGGTCTGGTCCAGTCTGATCTGGTCTCTCTGCTGTTTTTCTGCTTCAGTCAAGATCACCTTGTTCTACGTGGTCTTCTACGGCTGCCTGGGGGGGATCTTTGTGGGAACCATCCAGGCCCTGCTGCTCACCCTGGACGACTTCAAGCCCACCTGGCAGGACCGAGTGGCCCCTCCTGGTAAGAACTGTGCAGAAACCGAACGTCCGGCCCACGAGCGGCTCGGCAGATAAACTCCTGACTTTGTGTAATTTAATCTGACGCTGCTGACTCATCGACCCCACGCTCCGCAGAATGTTCTGCTTCAAGAAGGTTCTGACAGAACCGGAGGTTCTTTGTGTTCACACATCATGGAAGAGGAAGAAGGTCACATGAAGGTCAGCCAAGGTCTTGTGACCTTTGAGCTGAACCAAAGGTCAAAGCTGCTCCAGAGAAATAATGCTGCTGTATGTGTAGATTATAATCTGAGGGTTTCTGCTGCTTTAGCTAACAGAGCAAGAAGTTCTCCCTGAAACTTGTCTGAACGTTTCAGGTTAAATATGTTTTAAGAACATCGCAGACAAAACGTTAGTTTTCATTTGAGGGTGCAGCCGATGGGGACGCTCTCCTGAACTCTGCTTGTTGAAGCAGCAGCTGATGGATTATGATGGATTATGATGGATTACCTGGCCTGCTTAACGTTTTGACAAGCTACGAGCGTTGGCATGTTGCAGGTGCAACGTGTACAGAAAGGATGGCTTGTAATGTCATGTGTGAAAGTGACAGAGCCTCGACTGGTTCAGCAGTTTAGGAATGGACCATAGCAGCTGTACTTATGTATGGAGCTCATAACGCGCCCAGAGTGCTGTGCACGTAATGACACGGTCAATAAAAAAACTTAAAAGTCACGTCCCAGCAGACGAGATGGCGTTGAAAAGAGACGGAGAAGAGGCCTGGCTCATGTCCAAGGGAAGGTCCTTCCATAATTTAGGAGCTGCAACAGCTAAAGCACGGTGTGATCAAATGAAAGTCTCTAACCCAAGAACTGCAACAACACTCCCCCCTGTTTAGTGAAGAGGTCAAGCTGTTGGCACAAACTCTTCTTGAAACCTCTGTCACGTTTTTTTACTTCAGTGTAAAATCAAATGGAGGAAACTGCTCAGGCTCAGTTGTTTGTTTGTTGTTGTTGTTGTTGTTGTCGTTGAGTTTTTGGATCAAAGCTACAAAGATGGCTGCAGGTAGCTCAGATCCTAATCCAGACTGTTGGTTGAAGAACCCTTCAGAGGTCATGTGACTCACCTGAGCTGTGTCCGCAGGCCTGAGCCACACGCCTCGATCAGACAAAGGTGAAGTGAACTTCCACCCTAAGGAGCTGGAGTCCTACCTGCCTTACACCAAAGCCATGAGGGAGTTCATGTCCAAGTACGACGAGGAGAAGCAGAAGGACAGCATGAAGTTCGACGACTGTGGAAGTAAGGTTTCAATGCAAAGGTTGTTGTCGAGGCGCAGCTCGGCCTTACGGTCTGCCCCTTGTCCCCGCAGCGGAGCCAGATACCTACAGGAACCGAGGGGACCTGGACAGTTCGACGGGCACCAAGAAGGCCTGCAAGTTCTCCAGAGAGCTGCTGGGACCCTGCTCAGGCCTGGAAGACCGAGACTTCGGCTTCAGTCAGGGCAAGCCCTGTCTGATTGTCAAGCTCAACAGGATTGTAAACTTCCGTCCAAGGGTGAGTTTATGTTTTAACAGCTGTGTTGGGGGGGAGGGGTCCCACTGGGGGTCCCACTGGAGGGCCCACTGGACGTGGGACCCCCAGTGGG